AAAAATAAAAAGAACTAAGGCTCCAATGATAAATAGCACTTACCGATCGAAGGGAGAGCAAGCCCAAACCTTTTAAAGAAACCCGACCACTCACGAATCCCTACGATGTGAAGGAGGAGCCGACCAACCAATCAGAAATGTCCTCGACCAAATGTCACAACCCAAAATTCACTTGTAGTGATGGTGCCTATCTCAATACTAGACAAGTCGATAACCTCAATAAATCACAAAAATCTCTTAAGTTTGAAAATAGAATATTTAGATTTGATAGAAAATCCCACAAATACTGATACAAATATGCTCCCAAAACCCGGTGTCACTGAGTGCATGAGCATCTAAATGACAACATAGTCTGACTGATACAAATAATGTTTGGAAATATAGAATAGTACAAACAACTGAAAAGGAAAGAGAGTCAAGGTCTGCGGATGCTAAGCAACTACCTCGATAGTCTCCAACAGATAAATCCACAAATATAGCAACCGCCGTATCCGAAAGCACCTGGATCTGCACACGAGGTGCAAAATGTAGTATGAGTACAACCAACTCAATAAGTAACAAAACTAACCTTTGGACTGAAAGTAGTGACGAGCTCAACAGGTACAGTCCAGTATAGAAATGACAGTACAGAAATATAGGCATGCTTCCAAGTTCAACGGTTAAACTCAGTACAAGTAAAATAGATAAACTCTGCATGATGTGAGGAATATGGCAGCTCTATATCTACATGCCAAAATATATAAGCTTCGGGCAAGATCTATGCCCAGGGAAGATCCATCCCTAAGATAAATAAATAAATAAATAAATAAATAAATAAATAAATAAATAAGGCAAATCCATGCCCTGGGAAGTCCATCCCAAATATAAACATCAATTGCGCTCACTGTGGGGTGTGCAGACTCCGGAGGGGTCCTTCAGCCCAAGCGCTATATAAAGTCGATATGGCCTACTGCGGCGTGAAGTCTGATCCCATAGTAATAAAGCCTATAAATCCTGCTGCAGCGTGTAGCCCCGATCCATATAATAATAACATATATAAAGCCTATAAGGCTTGCTGCGTCGCGCAACTCGATCCCACAAATATCCTCACAATAGATGAATCTGACCGAGTATGAAATGTACATTTTTAAAACATTTAATTCAACAACAACACAACCTTATGGGTCCCAAAATATTGGCACGTAGCCTAAACATGATATTAACTACGAACCTTAGCTCAATTTCTCTAACACGTGGAGGATATGCAGATATTTACATGATTCTTTAATTTTACAACTCCACAGAATTTATTCAAGTCATAATTTCTATGGTGCACGCCCACACGCCCGTCACCTAGCATGTGCGTCCCCTTCATACAATTCATATAACACGTAAATTCAGGGATTTACACCCTCAGAACCAAGTTTAGATGTGTTACTTACTTCAAACCGTGTAATTCTCTATTCCAATATACCTTTGCCTCGCGAATCGGCATCCGAACGCCTCGAATCTAGTCATAATTAATTCGATTCAGTCAATACAAATTATAGGAATTAATTCCATATGAAAATATTAATTTTTCGACAAAATCTGAAATTCCACTAAAAAGTTGCCAGTGGGGCCCACGTCTCAAAATCCGAAAAACGTTACAAAATGTGAACTCTCATTCAACCACGAGTCCAACCATACCAAATTTATCAAATTCCGACATCAACTAGACCTCCAAATCTCAAATCTTATTTTCAAATCCTTATGCCCAAATCCTCGAATTTTACCTTAAAAATACGTAATCTAGTCAAAATACTCAATGATAATTCAATATTATTGACTAACAATGATCACAAGTGACTTACCTCAAGATTTCCCGTGAATTCTCTCAGAAGAATCGCCTCAACCCGTGTTGGAAATTTCCAAAAATGCCTAAATTCGAAAACCCCTCTGTTTTATTTCTGTCCAGGGTTTTCGCATTTGCGGCTCACTTGGCCGCATCTGCCGCTAAGTTTTCGCTTCTACGACAGTCCTTCGCTTCTGCGATGCCAGGCTCGCTTCTGCAAGCTCGCACTTGCAAGCCAAATTCCGTAGGTGCGATTGCACCAGAAGGCCAAAAATTTTAGCAGCTGTTTAAGTCCAAATTTCGATCCGTTAACCATATTAAACTTACCCGAGGCCCCCGGAAGCTCAATCAAATATAACAACAAGTCCTAAAATATCATATGAATTTAGTCGAAGCCTCAAATCACATAAAACAATGCTAAAAACATGAATAATACACCGATTCAAGCCTAATGAAACTAAGAAATTCCAACTTATACATTCGATGTTGAAACCTATCAAATCAAGTCCGATTGACCTCAAATTTTGCCCATAAGTCATAAATGACATAACAGACCTATGAAAATTTTTAGAATTGGATTCCGACCCCGATATCAAAAGGTCAACTCCCTAGTCAAATTTCCAAACTTAAATTTTTATTTTAGCCATTTCAAGTCTAATTTAACTATGGACTTCTAAATAATTTTTCGGACACGCTCCTAAGTCCAAAATCACCATACGGTGCTATTGGAATCATCAAAACTTTATTCCAGAGTTATTTACATATAAGTCAATATCCGGACAACTATTTCCATTTAAGCTTTAAATCTTGGAACTAAGTGTTCCAATTGATTTTTGAAACCTCTCTGACAAGTCACATATTTATAATTGAACACATGACAAACAACAAATGGGGGGAACGAGTTGCAATACTCAAAAAGACCGGCCAGGTCCTTACACCAAAGGAGTAGGTGAGGTCTTGGCTGCATGAGGAAAGGACAAGAGGTCAAAGTACACGACCAAACAAAAAAAATCAAGTACTTGTATGCAAGGAAATTAGGTACTTACGAGTATAATTCCAAGTCTCAGGGAAACCATCGACGTTGGACACCACGTACTCGGTTCTAACAAAGAAGAAGTTGAACCAGAATTGGGGGTTAGCTTTGTCATCCATCTTCACCACCAGGAACTTGCCTCCTCGGTGGTGAAGGTTCAGCATCGTCCCTCCATAAAAGCTAGGAGCGAATAGATGTATTAAATGCCGAAGAGTCAGTTCGACCTCGGCCAGCTCGACAAATTTGGTAAGCATCATTATAAGCTTATAGACATACGACACAAGCTGATCTAGGCAAATGCCATAATATGACAGAATTCCTCCGCCAACGGAAGAAGAGGGATAGTGTAGTCGACTTGGAAAGGATAGGCGTAGAAGGCGCAGTACCCAGGATGGTGGACTTGCACAGTATCCCATCTGGCCGGAATTAATTCGACGTGGTCGGGAAGGCCGAACTTAGCCTTAAGTTCTCCAAATTCTTTCTCCGTCTGGAAGAAAGGCTCCAGTGTCAGTATCGGGTAATTTAGAGAAGTCATACCCAGTATCAGGGTTGCGAGGAACTATCTCCTCCACCAACGGGAAACTTCCATCATCAACGACAACAAGAACATTTTCCTCGTAAGGAAGAAACACCTTCGCCAAAGGGATCGCTTCACTCCCCTTACTAGACTCGGAAGACATATTAGATATGTTTTAAAAGAAGTATCGAACGGTGAAGAACTGAGAACGAGTGCTAGTCACTGGAACAGAAAGAAGAGATTTAGGGCAAGGGAATAAAGCATGGTTTTGAAATAGAAAACTTGAAACTTCAAAATCATACCCTAACATCTCTATTTATAAGGATCTTGGCTCCAGAACCAAAGTCGGTTCATCATTACCTGGCACCGAAACCGAAGCGGCAAGTTCAATCAAGGGTCACACGCGAAATGAAGCAACACATCGGGAATATATGTCATAATGACGCATAACATCATGACATCATCCTAATTCGTGGACATCATAACTCCAACAAACCAACCGAAAAAATCGAAGCGTTTGAAATAAGCGGTCTATGTAGGGCCACGTCGCCAGTTCACTGTAACCGCTACGACCCGCACAGCTCGCTCGATTGTTCCGACCACGACGAACAAAATTCGCTTATCGAACCCGACTGAAGCTGGCCTCAATAAGCGGAGGGACTAAATGTATGGGTCAAAATCTGTCTTTGGAATATTTAAGCCAAGATAATACTAAGGAAAGAATTCCCAAATCGTCATTTGTCGAGATGGCCCAAGAAGCAGCAAACTGTGGTCGAAGAGTCAACAAGAGCCGTAGTCGAGGTGCCAACAAGGAACGAGGCCGAGGTCGAGGGCCGTTGACAGAGCCGTAACAACTAGTTTCCGAGATAGGACATTAAAGAAAATATTCTAGTGGATATTCTCTGTACATGTCCCATATAAATAGAAAAAGAGACAATGATAGGGGCATGTGATATTCATTTGTAAAGAAATCTGGTTCTCACTTGCGAAGAAACAAACATCATCTTTTCACTTAGATTCTTGTATATACTTTTTCATCAGATTCGAGAATAACTCGAATATTCAAGAATTTGTCTATCATTCCTTGTTAGGAGGAAGATCCATCCATTACATCATTTATTGGGTGAATCATTCCTTCTATTTACTTAAATGTCATTTATTGTTGTTCATTATTATTGAATGTTGTATTATTGCTCTTGTTTTCTAGAAAAAGTTATTACATGTTGTTGCCATTGTCTGACCAAAACCATCTAACATTTATTGCTTCTTTGAAAACTCCGTCTAGGGATATTATTGTTAACTAAGATTAACCCTTAATTACATAAATTAACTGATTTGAACCAAGATAGATATTTTTTGGTCAAACAGAAACTACTTAAAAAATATTTAAACCATAATAATTAATAACTCAAAACATTTAAAAAACATAAAAAAATTACGGCCAACGAATACTACGTTTGACTCTCAAAATATAAACACGGGGCAAAAGAAGTATCTCTATTATCGGAGGATGAATAGTACACTTTCCCCAATTGAAGCTAGACGTATAGTAGTACTAGATTGTATATCAATGATAAATATAAATAATTAAATCTTCCTAAAGGAGCAGAAAATGGGAGGGATCCGTGACGTGTAGAAAGAGCGCGCGTGGGTGAGGTTTACAAGTTGCGCATTGTTGAAGTATCAAAATGAAAGTGCCATTTCCCATGATATCACATCCCTGACGTCAACAAATTGGTGAATGACGGACTGAAATGCATTATAGTCTAATGATCAACAATCAGCCATAGCCTAGTCAATAGAGAATAGACTACGTAGATTTAGAGAGAGGAGATAAACAAGAGAAGATAGCTACTTATGGACGGAGAGAAGAAGAGGAAGAGAACAAATAACGGCGAGGCTAACGGCGGCGATTGGAACAAACATGAGAGAGAAAGTGCTGCGAATGAGGATATCGCGGTGGCGCCGCCGCCTTCGGAGGCGGAGGTCGACGAGTTCTTCGCGATCTTGCGGAGGATGCATGTGGCAGTGAAATATCTCCAGAAAAGTGGCCAGAAGAGAGTTGTGCCAAAAGGCGATTTGGACCTCAACACTCTGCCAGAAAACGGAGACTAACGCCGTCTAATCTTAAGTGAGAGAAGTGCGCAGTTGGTGCATTTTAGCCGGGGAAGATCCTGGAGGCGTATCCACTGTATAGGTTAAGCTTTTGTTCCTCTTATCGCTAATAACAAGTTTAAAATCTCTTTTTTTAAAGAGAATTCTACCAATTTGTTTGGTTTGAACTTCAAACTTTTAAGTAACAAAAATCTCCATATGCTTCAATATTGCATCAGTTTTTTTCTTTAATTTCTTATGTAATAAAACTAAGACTTTTATAATTTTGTTATCAATGGTAATATTCACAGTTGTTACCAAAAAAAAAAAAACTAAGACTTCTATGGAATCAGATTATCTAATTTTATGCCAAGAGACCTCTTAAAATGGTATTTTAACTTAAAAAATGATGAACACGACAAAAATGAAATGAGAAAGGAACGTTTATCTACTCTCCTTAACTTTGTCTTCCTTTCAATAAATGTTTTTTAATTTCCTTTAGTTTATTGTACACAGTATACTTACGATATTTACTTTGTAATTTTTAACTATGCAAAAGGATTTGAAGAAGTTAATTAAAACGAGGTAGAATTAGATTCAACAATCTTATGGAATATATAGTAATCTATACGAAAATACTATAAAAGTATTAAGGGTAAAATATAATTGAATCAAAACAATTAGTAGTAAGTAGCATACGTCCCCGCATTTTCGGATATTTAATTCGTGTATTTTTCTTAACGTCTTTCAAATATTAACCAAACCGAAATGGTTTCAAGGACTTCCTTTTATTTTCTTCTCTACTATTCGTATGTATGCAGATTAAGGTTGCAATATATTTATAGGATCCAACTGGCAAGAATTATTCAAAAGAGAAAGAAGAGAGGATGGTTTATATGTGTTAAAATGAGGACAATGCCTCAAAATTAAATAACTTCATTGCCCCGAATTTGATTCTAGCACGAGAAAGGAAAATGTACTGAATATGTTGTTTTTTTAGTTAATTGAAATAGCCGATCAACTTTAAATCGATTAAAAGTATAGCATAATTTATTTATTTTTCTCTTGTGTCGTCTTCTGTTTTACTTATCGCCCAACATTTTATTGGGTTGGGCCAATAGTCATGTTATTCTACGAGCTGTATTACATTGGTGGGGGCATAACATTATTAACATCTATTACTCGAGGTGAGTAATTCAATAAATTAGACTCAATAGCTTAGTTTGCGCCTAAAAAGAAAGGAAAATAATACTCATTCTATTGCTTAGACATTAGTTTCACCAACTGTGACACCCATCTCAATCATCACAGCATGGTAGTAGAAAAATTAATCTGTCTTCCAATTCTTTCGAAAATCTTCTATGAAAAAGATCATATACATTAAATTACATTTATAATAAACTACAAATTACATCTTGTCAAGACAGTTATATGGTTGAATAATATTGTTCAACTGTTGGACTTTAAGGGCTTGACAAATTAAGCTCAAGTTAGGCTCAAGAGACAGGCCTCTAAGCCCATGTGCCCATTAACCCAGATCTGTCAGTGGGCCAAGTTGGATAGGGGCGTGTTATATCCAGGCCCATTTGGTTTGTCCAGAGCCAGTCCCTATCGATTAGCCCAATTGATTTTTCTTCGGGATCTTTACACAAATAGCACGCCATTCATTATTTACCTTTTCTAGCCATAAACATAGTTTATATATTAATTATACACAATTATACATATATATAATACAAAAATTATGCATATATTATATATTCATCGGCTATTTTTAGTTTAACCGGTTTAGGTGGGAAGCTATTTGCTCTCGTCATAGGCTTGAACCCAAAATTACTAATTAAGGATGAAAGGATCACATCTAGCCTGTCATGTCAAGCCTTATGGACATGCATTATCTCAAGTATTCAAAACAGAGAGGGGCATATCGGTAAATTGAAGTGGGTCCAAAATGGTAAGCACAAAAAGTTAACAAACACAATTTGGATAAGGACTTTGCCCAAGCAATCTAAAGATTACATGCAGACCATCCATAAACCTGGAAAAATTGACAACAGCCAGTGAATTTCTTAGGCTGCTACAATTGATTTGACCATGTATTATTCTATCTGCCCCCCGCCTCAAAAAAAAAAAAATTAATGAGATCTCAAATTCGCTAGAGTACAAGTATCAATCAAATCGCAGGCGCCACAAAACAGAAAACAAAATAGAACACAAGGTCGAACAATGTACAAGGATAAAAGAGGGAAATTTTGAATCCGGAACCAAAATGTGGTTCTTTTGGACTCAAAGAACCAAAATGTGTGGGAAAAAAAACTGGTGACCATAATATATATAACGCAATTTTATAAGGCGCTATACCTTAACGGCCGGTGCCTAGTTAAGTATAGCGCCCTTATTTAAGGCGCTATATATGAACGCAAACGGGCGGGAAGGTATAGCGTCCTAACTTAAGGCACTATAGTATAACGCCCTTACCTAAGGCGCTATACTTACATAAATAATCGTCCCTTCCCCTTCCAATTTTTCAGGTCGACAAGACAATACACATAACGTGGTATTTCACTGCGCTATG